AGCCTGTGGGCCAGGCGTGTTGGCTCACGCCTGTAATCCCAGCACTTTGGGAGGCTGAGGCAGGCGGATCACCTGAGGTAGGGAGTTCAAGACCAGCCTGACCAACATGGAGAAACCCTGTCTCTACTAAAAATACAAAATTAGTCAGGCGTGGTGGTGCATGCCTATAATCCCAGCTACTCAGGAGGCTGAGGCAGGAGAATTGCATGAACCTGGGAGACGCAGGTTGCAATGAGCCGAGATCACGCCATTGCACTCCAGCCTGGGCAACAAGAGAAAAACTCCGTCTCAAAAAGAAAAAAGAAAAAAGATAAAAGAAAAAAAGAGACAGCCTGTGGTATGTGGGACAGAAAGGATTAGTGATGGTAGGTTATGTCATGATGTTGACATATCCATGACATGAAAGCTGGGGAAGGGACTCTAGATGGAAGACTGGATATCATCTTGTCTGAGATGAGTCTGACTCAGAAGCATCTATTTTAGCAGGAATACTAGAGTGACTAAACACAATAAGGTATTTCAGGAGAAACAGAGGTCCCAGGAGGTCAAGTCATTTTCTTTATGACCCGTCAATACTTAGCATTAATGAAGAGCCTCAGAACAGTTTGTCATCACTAGCTGGAGCCCAACAGCCCATTAGGCCCATGCTGTCCAGACTGGTCCCATTGCTAGAAGCTAACATGTAAAATGATTTGTACAAGAAAGCTGCCACTGAAACCACTGCTTAAGGCCAGAGCCCAAGCAGTGTAGTCCAGATTTCCTTAAAAGTCAGAAAATCCATAACCATGAACAGCATAAATAACGTCACCAGCCTCTTCCTCTTTAGGGTGCCCAAAAGTTGTTAGGTGATATTAAAGCCACTGGCTTACCTGCAAGAATCCACTCTAACAACTGTTTCTCCATATACCTTTCTACCAAACACTTACTCTCTAAAATAGGGCCATACATAAGCTTATTCTCTACCATGCTTCAAATCCCTATTAGTAGTAGTCCCTGAAATTTCTCTATAACACCTGGAATTCATCATCCAGGATAATTTCTTTTAAATAGCCAATGACAGCATCACATGCTGCATCCGGAGCAGAGAGATGGACAGCCCGAAGCTCTCTTCTTAGGTTAGGCCTATTTGGACAAAGCCACTGCCGTGTCCAGCTGGGTTGACCCCAGGAGGCATCTGCACCTGTGCACAAGGCTCAGCCTTGGCTGCACATGGCTAGGTTCTGCCTGTTTCTTACCGACCACTGAAATGCAGTCTTATAGAACAAACCTGAAAAGACCCTCTCTATAGGAGTTTTTGTAAGTACTTCTCTTACCTAAGAATGTTCTTGATAAAATTGACGGCAATATAAATGTTGAGCAATAGCATTTGAGTTGAAAATAGAGTTCCCTTGGGGTAGTAGCACTTAATTTGCAATTTGAAAATTCTACCACCCCAGAATGTATTTTTGAAAACTCTTAAAAACTCAACAGCAAAAAGACAGACAATCCAATTATAAAATAGGCAAAGACTTGAGCAGATATTTCAGCAAAGAGGAGATAAGAATGGCAAAAAGCTGGCGAAAATATATTCAACATTATTATTCATTAGGGGGAATGTGAATTAAAACTACAATGAGTTGTCTCTACGCAACTGTTACGACAAGTGAAACTTTGTAAAATATAATAATAATACCAAACGCTATTATTATTTGTGAGGATGTGTAGATCTCTCATACATTACTGGTGGAAACTGCGAATAGTGCAGTCACTCTGGAAAATGGTTAAGCGGTTTTTTTATTTAGCATGTGACCCAGCAATTGCATTCTTCAGTAGTCATCCCACAGAAATAAAAACTTATGCTCACACAAAACCCCTAAACAAATGTTTACGGAAGTGTTTTTCATAATATTAATAGCAAAATAATAGAAACTACTCAAATATCCTGCAGTGGGTGAATGGACAAACTCTGGTACATCTGTGCAATCAAAATTTACTCAGCAATAATAAGGAATGAACTACTGATATGTTCAATATCCTGGATGAAACTCAGGAGCATTATGCTTAGTTAAAAAAAAAAGTCAACCTCAAAACATTACGTACTTATATTCCCATTAATGTAACAGTCTCACAATGAAAAAACTCTAGAGATGGAGAGCAGATTAATGGTTGAGGGCTGGGGGTGCAAATATAAAGAGGTAGTATGAGAGGATTCTTTTGTGATAATGGAAAAATTGTGTGTCTAAACTGTGGGATTTTTTTAATCCTATGACTTTGATAAAATATTTGCCATAAAAGCTGGTCAAAAGTTTCAAGATCGCCTTTGTGCAATAGAAACATGAAAGTGTTTAAAGATACAATGTCGGTTTAATTCCACTTAGGTACCAATTTTTATGTTGACTTAAAAGGGAATGGTACTAATTTTATTAGCAAGCAATGATTTTAATATACAAAAATGGATCATTTCATGGAAATAACGAGAGCAGGGATACACTCACAGCAGTGATTACAGAGGTTATTTGCTGTGATTCATTTTCTCCCCTTTCCTATTAACAAAATACAGTCTGCACAACTTGCTGCATTTTCTCCAACTTTTCCACAGTCTGAGGTTTTATACGTAAAGTTTGGTGCTGCATATCACCATGTGGGAACGTCTTTCTCTGATCACTGACCTTCTTCGGAAGGACTTTCCAGAACAATGAATTTTCCTCTGCTATATCTGGATTACTGTTGATACCAACTCATTTTCTTGAAAGTTCTTCCAGTTTCCCTCAGATTTACCCATTCAACTAGGTAATTCCAAGGTAGTTGACTGTTCTTTATCCCCTTTAGAAGAAGCATCTTTTGGAAGCCTGCCAGCCTCTGTGTGCCCTGGGGGTGTGGGCCAAGAGCTGAAGGGTGCGCTGCCAGCTGGGGTCTTTGTGTGTCTTTCTGTTATAGGCCTCTGCCTATTATTTAACAGAAGCATGACACTGAACTCTTTTTAATTTAGAACTGAGAAAATAGAAAATAGAAGAAACTGAGGAAAGGCAAGCTGTTAAAAAGCAGGTTAATGATAAAATAAGACTTTGCCACAGACCACCCCAGGTGCAAATACAACTGTCAAGACCTCAGAAAAAGTAACTTCTCCATGCCTGTTACCTTATCTGTAAAATAATTAGGATAATAATAGCATCTACCGCATCAGTTGTTGTGGGGATTACATGAGAAAATGTGTTTTAAGCCTCCCAGCTCCGTGCCCACCTCATGTGAGGGCCGAGATACATCTTGATTCCCATTTCTTTTGAGTTTCTACCCTATTTCTTAGCTGTCAGGGCAGTTTGAAGAAAAATGGCTTGCAATGAAGAGGACTGATTGCTAGGAGTGAACAGGGTTAATTAACTTTTCCCAAGAAATTTGTACCCGAAAATAATGTATTTTGATTAAGCCTTTCAAAATGGAGTCATTTTGCAAGAGACTAAGGGAAGTCAGTTTTATGCCAAGTAAATGATCACCCGCCTCTTGGATGTGTTCTTGGAGTAGACACCTGTACTTGACTTTTCACTACCCTCTCTTTCTGGTATCCAAGACTAGGGCCTTGGTAACTCCATTTTCAAAGATACTGCAATGAGAGTGGCTTAAACAAAGGAGGTTGCTGGTCTTACCTTTCCTCATAAAAACATTAGATTTCCCTATGTCCTGGGGTCTCCGCGGGATTCAGGGAGCACCAGGCAAACCTTTGTCTTCAAGAGGCTATAAGCAAATGAGAAAGAGTAGAAATACCACTGGACTGGAATTCATCTGGGAATCTTGGGTGGAGGGTAATTCATCAGGAAACTAAAGATGGTCTCCTAGAAAAAACTGAGGGACCAAGAAATGTGTTTGCTTTTAGAATTTTTTCACACATCCTGTTTTGGGGGGGGGGGGGATAAGCCAAAAACTAGCCCTTACAATAGGATGGACTCTCTTTTTCCCAGTCCTTCAGTATCTCAGGAAAATATTACCTGAGAACTGGTAAGGCCAAGAATGACATTGTTTCCATCTTTGCATCCCCGGCTCGACACACACAGCTTACTCCTTAAAGGTTTATTAAATGAATATGTTCCTCAGGGTAGCTGAACACAGTCGTGTCTTTATTCCCCAGTGGTCTCTTTACAGGCTGGGAGTGATGAGTTTTGTTAAGGCATACTAATTTTAGCAGGCTGACTGAAAGCTCCCTGAGGTCAGGGATCCTGTTGATTGCTTTCACTATCACCTCCTTAGAGCTTGGCAAGGCACCTGGCAGCCTGTAGTCACTCTATAAGCATTTATGCGAATGCATGAAAACTACCCCTGGTTCTGTCTTCAGAACTCAAGGTTAGCCCGGAAGAGAGAGGAGTTTCTGTGAGGAGGGATGGGCTGTCTTGGTCTTCCAAGTCAATTTCACCTCCCCACTCAGCCGTCTGCAGGAGGTTATAAATCACAGCTGTACCCGGGTCGGGGTCAGCTGTACGTCCCTAACGCCCCCTGCGAGGACCCCTCCGGCCAAGTCTCAGAGGAAGGTAACCCAGCGGGGGCGAGCCAGCCAGCACGTGCAGCCGCCCAGGGAGGAGGAGGCTGGGCTAACGCAGCCCTTAGTCAGCAGCTGGGCTCGGTTTTGAAACAAAAGCCAATGTCCTCCCTCGGAGTCCGCGGCCGGTCAGCTCCTAGGGGGAAGAAAGCCATGCTGCCCAGCCGGTTAGTGGCCCAACCTACTTTTCCAGAGCCTGGGACAAAGGGCCAGCCGATGCACCGGAGCGGGTGGGATGTTGGGGATGGGGTACGCGGGCGCAGACGGCCCAGACCCTCCCCTCCCGGCAGCGCGGGGAAGGGGCCGGGGTCGCCCCTGCTCTGCGCGGGTCTGTCCCGGGCGTTCCGCCGCCTCGCCCGGGCCCGTCGGGTCTGCGTAGAGCCGAGGCGGCTCCGCCACCCGTGTCCCAGAGCACAGACACACCAGGCCCCGGTTTCATGAATGAAATCCAATCGCGTGGATATAAATAGCCGCGAAGGCTGCTAACGTCACAGCGCGAGCGGCGGCCGCCACGGCGGCGGAGCGAGGTGCCGGGTGCTCCGTTCCGCCCGGCTGCCCCGCCTGGGAGCGGGGTGGGGGCAGGCGAAGGGGAGGGCTGCGGGTGGAAAGGGGCGAGCCCCTCTGGCCCCGGACTGGGAAGAGCGGCCGCGGCGCCGGGCGAGGCGGCAGGGCGAGGCAGTGCCATGCTGCCTTTGTGCAAAGTTGGGCGGCGGGCGGCGCGCCCCGCGCAGGGGCCCCGCACACTCGCGACCGCGCGCAGCCGTGGCTGCTGCTGAGTGGCCGGGGCCCCACTCCCCGCTCCCCCCGGCCCTTGAAGGCGGAGAGAGCTCGCGTCTCGCTCGGCTTCAGGGTAGGTTCTGTGTCGTGAGTGCTCTATGCTGTGAAACTTCTCCGAGCAGCCGCCGCGGAGCCCCCATCGCCCCGGCCCCAGCGGGTGGCAACTGGGGGCCCCGGGCTGTGCCACGCGGCCAGCAGCGCCCCGAGACAGAGTTGTGGGACCGAGCCCTTAGGGGGTCCGCCCTCGCCTCTCCGCGAGGCGGGGAACCCTCCCATCAGAGGCGAGCACAAGAGATTTCTAGGAGTGCCCGCACAGCCGCACCCCTAACTTGGAGCTGAGGAAACGTACAACAGGCACCCTTAGCAGGCTGGCTGCGCCAGGGAGGGGGTGGTGCCGCGCCGATGAGAAGGCGCTTCCCCTTCGAAGGCCAGTGGGGGTGCTGGGCGGGGACCCGAGGACCCGAACAGGGGAATACGCTAGCCCCTTTGGCGCTTGCACCCTCTTGAGAGTTGACTGGCCAGACCACAGTTTGGCGCTCCCTTCCCCTCCCCCGCAACCCCGTGTCTATGGAGTCTGTTGTGGGTTGCTGTGACAACAGGAGGAGCTGCCATGAGGGGCTTGCAGAACACCTTGCCTGTGTGTGCTCAGCTTTCGGGGAAAGCAACCAAGGGGAGATGTGCAGACAAAAGAATCCGGTCCCCTTCCCCAAGAAAAGAATTGGAAGGCAGGCACAACTATGTAAAAATATATCATTAGATCCTACTGTTAGCTGCACCGTTTCCATTCCCAGCAGTATCAAACATCTCAACCGAAGAGCAATGTCAATATTTAGACTTGGACAAGCCAGAAAGTTAGAAGGGAACGCCAAGCACAGGGTTTTGACTTGGCTTTGCAAGTCAGCACACAAGCTGTGCCTTTGGAGCTGACTGTACACATTTGCTGGGGGCAAAAATGCATGAAGGTTGATATATACACAGGGGCACCCAGGTCTAGGAAAATCTAGGAAGTTAAAAACAGAAGAGTTGCCCTGACTTTGAACCTCCCCATCCTGTGCTGTTCACTGAGCCTTGTTTAACTCCAGCCAGATGCTCAACTTGAAGTTTCACTGGTTTGGGGCTCCCCCACCTCCAACTGCCGCTGTGGTGTACGTTCTACACTAACATACTCTAAACAGAAATAAAAAATACTGTTATCAGTGGTTTCATCTTTGTGTAAGTCCTCTGAAGAGCAGCAGATAGTAAATAGTCAATAGGCTGTGTTTGTTTAGTCTTAGCAAGCCTTAGACTTTTTAAAACATACTCTGATAAGTTTGTTTACAAACCCTTTTTAGAAATTTGGAACTACATTTCATTTCCAGTAACTTTGTAGACGCTTATGAGAGTCACTCGTTGCTAGAAAATAAACAGAAGCTCTTTTCTGTATAAATAATGTCTGCATATTGCTCCACAGGTGGAGTGAGCAGCAAATTATTATAGTAAACCTGGTTTCCTCTGAGATTCCTGGATCATATTTGGACATATTAATGGGAAAAAGGTTTAACAAGTTGATCCTAGTGCAGAAGGCTTTGGAAAATCATTAGGAAGCAAGACTATCATAATCAATATACTAATTTTGCCTACTACTACAGAAAAAATTCTGTTTTCCCAGAATTTGAAGGAAGCGTAGTTAAGTGCATAGGGCTGTGTAATCACACAGGTGGAAATAGAAACACATGTAACAGTTTGGGGTTATTGGCTCAATAATACAAATTTTAAGCTATAAAAATACAACAGGAAAAAGCAAAATTCTTTGGTCTTTTAATTGTGATTATATTGTCTAAAAATGCTGTTTTGAATAGGATGCCCACATCCGTGACTTCCGTATTTTCAAATGCCTTTAAGGATTTTCATTGTTATCTGTCAGTTTGGGGCTACATGTTTTTTGGGTTGTCTTTTTTTTTTTTTTTTGGTATCGTGCCCAAGTGCTCAAAAATATATTTTCACAAATGCAGCAAAATGTTAACCTAGCTATTTCAGGATGTATTTGACCCAAAGAAATGCCACTTTAACACTGGCACTTTGCAAAAGTAAAGCAGATTCTTCCCTTTTCCGGGGGGAAGAAAAGAAAACAACGTATGTTGAAAATTTTAGTGGCTCCCCATGTACTCGTGGCAGGCAGTAGAATTTATAAAGCATTTCTCTCTTTCATGTAGGTAAGTCCAGCAGTGAGCAGAGTGTTCATTTCTTCACTTCCAGCAAGCCAGGTCAGTGTCTTTGTGCAAACCAATGACTACAGGTCGGTGACATCCTGTGTCTAATTCTGAGCATGCATTTCAGAACAGGTTTCTTAATCATTTGTCTTTAAAATGTTGTCTTTGACTCTTTTATATACTCAGTTATGAATGCCACAAGTTCAATTATTGTTAAAATTATTGCTTTACTCTGTGAGTACAATGGTACAAATATGGGCCTCAAACCGGTTTGTCCTTTATACGACTTTTTATTTTTTCACTTTAGGCATCAGAATGGTGCCACAGTTGAGGATACTGGGGATCTGGATGCTTGATAATTGAGGTTTTATTTCTAATCTTAGCACTCTGGTGCTAGAAGAAACTTAGCACTCAATAATTGACTTATTGAGCATATATCAAGTTTCACGTAATGTGCTGCATTCTTTGTATTAATATTCTTATTCTGCTTCAGAAAGAAAAAAAAAAATCTCTGGGAGGTGAAACCATTGTCTTGAATCCCAAACTACAAGTGAGGACTTGGAAGTTTAGAAACATTAGATAATATGTTCAATTCTTCTATTAAATGGCCCAAATAGGATGTTTAAAAAAAGTTTTTGTCTTACCCTAAGACCTAAACTCTCTAGTTGAAAAATTGTTTTCCAGTAGAGAAACGGAAGACAGAGAAGGTTAAGCAACTTGCCTAAGGTAACTTGGTAATTACTAGCGCACATAATAACACTCAATGGCCCAGCTGTTACCAAATAATAAATTCTATTCTCTTCAGTAAAATAGTGAAATTATAAGTATCATGTGTACTTCCTGGCATGACACCATCAAAGATATAAGAAAGTTTTTATTGTGGGGTCTCTCGTCTTGAGGATTTTACAGAAGATTTAAAAGGCAAGATATTAAACATTCAGGTATACAACAATAGAGAATAAATCAAGATTATACTTGCCAGAAGGCTGAATTGGGGATCAATGGTACATTTATGAGAAGTTCAGCATTTTCCACTCTGTGGAATTACTTTGCAATTCCATATATATATGCATGAAAAAAATAATTCCAAGCACATTTTTTTTGTCTGGATAGATGATTAATCGGTGAGAGTTTAGGAAAGGACAGAATGTAGGATTTCAACCCAACAGGGAGAGATTATGTAGTCATCCAGAACCGCTAAATCGCAGTACATCAAACTCAAAGATGTTATTGCTTCAAAGCATTGTAACCTAAAACCGTGAGCTGTTTGAATCTGCACAGCATCTTTGAGAAACCATAATCATTTGGCATGACATTTAAAAGTACTGGATTTTCCCTGGAACCTCATTTTATCTGAAAGGTACCACGTAGATGGATTTGGATATATAATAGATAATTCCTAACCAAAGTCCTGATAACAAACAAATATTAAGCAAGACTCTTTCCTTTTTTGCCTAAACTGACAACCTTCTCTCTCTTCTGTTTCCCCACTTCCCTTCTCTCCTCCTTCTTTTTATAGAGTAATTTGTAACAGTTGTTAATCCTTCTTTGTGAATTTTATATAAAGGGGCAATAAAAAATGAAATGGGGAACAAATTATTAAAGCAAACCTTATGATATCATCCTTTTTAATGTACTGATAACCCCCACTCAAGCTAATAGCTCTAAAATCTTAATTAGTGAAGATTTTTTAAAGCATTTAAAGGGATGTTATAAGCTTTCCAGTAACACGTCTGTCCTGTGTAAGTTGTTATATAGTGAATCATTGCAAAATAGGTCACATTCTGTAACAGCACTATTATTATTGGGAAGATCCCATTACAGGCCAAGACCCCATCAACTGACATATGATTAGTTGTGATAATGGTATATAATAAAAATATCAGTATAGCAATGATAAAACTATAATTAAAGCACTAAAATTATACTTTGAATCATATAATGTTATGAACAAAAGAGATCTAGGAATTAGCATGGTCTTGCTAATAATAATCATTTAGCAATGATTTGTTTTCTCTTTTGAACTTCATAAAGCTTTGGTTAGTATGCATAACTTACCTCTTTTAAAAAGGCTGGAAACATTTGAAATGTTGCCACTTTTTGCTAAGAAACATACCTGTAGAAAACAGAGAAATGTTTAAAACCTTTTCTTGGCCTTCCTTTTATAAAACAGGCCATTCAAAGTTCCCCTCTGGCTTCACGTATTAAGGCTGAAAGAGCACAGGTGATTTGAATGTGGTTCTTGTGTTTCTCTTCTCATCTCTGCCAGGCTTCCCACCAACATCACAGCACCAAAACAAAACTCGGAAAGGGAGGGAAAAATGAGTCTCAAAAAGTGAGTGTAGACAAGGGCAGGATGTGGGAGAGTGTGGGCAGCAGGACAGAGGAGAAGGAAAGGCAAAGCTTTTGGGGGAAGGGTCAAGAAGCAGTCACTCCAATGCATGGGATCTTTACAGATTAGTTATCTGTTAGCATCAGAATATTTTTATTTTTAGTTTGGAAACAAATGGACGCCACTTCCTTCCTTTTTTGGCTTCCTTTTGTTCCTTGTGCCCAAAAGGCAGAAATTGGAAAATTTGCAAAAAGACACAAAAAGTGATGTGTGAGTATGACTGCCCCTCTTCCCAGATGTCCCAGGACACTTCTGTCTTCGGATACTTCACATCAGCGTGTCTCTGATCAGGCTTTATCCACTAAGAAACAGATTAGCAAGTTTCACGGAGAAAGAGATGCCAATAGGTCTGGAAGAAAGCAATTACATGTCTCTACTCTGCACCTGAGTGTATTTATTGCATAGACACAGGTTAATGGCAAGTTCCCAGCATTAATGAGTTTATGATCTCAGGCTCCATCTCTCTGTGGAGAAATTTCTTTTGAATTGTTACCCAAACGTAGACCAAACCCCTAATGACCGCCGCGATAGCAATAAACTAGCATTTATACCCCTACTAGATGCTGGACGCTTAACTAAATTACCGCTAATATTCATTATCAATTCCAATTTTACAAAGGCAAGAAACAGAACTCAGAGATGTTAAGGAAATACTAGGAAACAGAGCTTGGATTTTCACCCAATGCTGTCTAAGAACTTGAAAATATATTTGCTCTTAACAAACTCCCCCCAAAAACACTTTAAAGCATTTCATTCCTTGTTAATTTTTGCAGATGTTGGAGTTTGGAGTTATTCTTCTGGGTTTGTTTTTACTTTCTAAGTTTTTATATTTAAATTTGAACTACACACATTTTTGCGTAGATAAGTTGGCTGACTCTTTAGGTCATTTTAAATGTATTTTGATGTCGTCACAATCTTAAACAGTTGAGTCAAAGAGAGTTGAATCATGGAGCCAGGAGTGTCCTTATTAAGGATACTTAGCCCAACCTCATGGGGATGGAAAACACTGGCACCTAGAGAAGCAACGTAACTTGACTACCCTCTTAGTTAGTAAGTGGCACAGCCTGAACTGGACCCAGGCTTCCAAGTCCCAGCCAGAGCCCAGTTCCATTACATAACACTGCCTGAAAAGTGCCAAATCTTCTAAATCTTCCAACATAGCCTGAAATACAACTAGCAAGTATGATACACATCTGAAACCCAAGGTACATCCAGAAATGGTGATAAGAGAATTCCAGTGGTGTAAAGATACAGTGGGTACTAGGAGAAATCTCACTTATCTTCAGTGGTGCTGAGATAAATAGTTTTTCTCTTGCTGAGAACGTAACACCCTTCTAAGCTGTCTTTGTTACATGAACCCTTCCAAGCTGTCTTTGTTAAGTGATCTGTTTGGTGCTTTTTCATTTTGACCAAACTCTGGCTTTTCATTAACTATGCAACTTAGGTGAAATATGACCTTATTTTCCTCAACTGTAAAATCAGGACAGTATCCCCTCCCCCAACTGAAGATGTGATAAAATCCTCATACATGTAAAGCACATAGTAGGTGCTCAATAAGGGTTAGCTCTCTTATCCTGCCTAGAGTATCTCGAAAGAAAGTATTTTAACATATTAGGGCAGTTGTATCATTTTGTCTCTGAATTTACTGGAGTCATTTGAATTCTGATATTGCAAGGAATGGCTATAGAAACTTTTTTTCTTGAATACAACAGGTCCAGTGGTCTCTCTACGTTCCAGTGGCCCAGTCTACATTACATTTGTTTTCTTCACACTCTAAGGTTGCCAAAGTTTACTTACACTGAATTACTTTATTGCCTTAGTTCCTGCTACAAACTAATACCAAGCTTCTCCTGCAGATTCGTGGCTCTCATTTTCTTCCAGACACTGTTCCTAAGTATCTAAGGTGTTTTCTACATAGAACTTTGCATCTCAAAGCAACTATTTCCAGCCATATAACTAAGAACTATTTCTGGAGAATATCATTGCCAGTAGAAAATTATTGCTTTCAATTTTGAAATGTGAGACTTTGCTACTTTCATTGCAATTCACTGTAGTATGGAGTGTTTGAGGTATGCTGCTCCTGGCTTTTCTTTTTGTCACGTGTTGCTGACTGATAGATTGATAGGAAAAGTGTAAACACTACAGCTTCCCCATTTCACCTGCAGCACTTGATAACTACCCTGGCCTAAATGATATCTCTGGGAAGCGTTTTGTGCGCTCCTCTCCCCAGCTGCCGCATTTTGTCATGTGACACTTGCTGCCTTGCCTTGGACTTTTAGAACCAAGTCCTTGGCCACACATCCAATTCATCACATATGTGGAGGAAAGCTACTGCTTTGATATACTTTTTTTTTGATACTTGAACCTGTTTTTCCTTTTTTAGTAATAATCCAAATGGCGTAGAATAGACTTTATTGTCCTGGTGGTGCAATTTCTCTTTTAGTATTTGGTAATTGCATATTGCAAGATGGATGTCCTTTTCTTCAGACTGAGAAGTAGCAATTACATGTCCTTCCCAGTGCTATGAAGTGGCTGAACTGGGGCTAGGTGCTTAGAAATCACCAGTTGCTATATTGTCCTTAACCTCATTACTAATCTCAAATTGATTATATAGATGTTTTTATTTTTACCAAGGAATTAATTGCTTTTAAAGCAGTGCTCA